ATCTCATAGAACACTTTTTTTCTCTAATGAGAACAGAATAAGAATGGGGGTTAGAGTCTTGGTCTAACCCAGGAAATCCTGGTCAAACCGTTATCCTCAATTTTGTGGATGTAGCTACAAATTAAATGGGCTTCTGTGACCCAATTGGCCCATCTAAACATCTTTTATCACATGTCCTTCTATTAGAAATGCATTTCAAGGTCCAAACAACACCAATAAAACAAATGTCTGAACCATCACCCCATTTGTATGCTAGAAATTTCCTGTTCCTACTCAAGGGTTACAGGTCATTCTGGATTGCTGGAGAATTTTTTAACTTTACATTCAGATAGCTTGGATTAACACCAGTATTTGTTACCTAATATAAATCCAAGTTAGGATGACAATTCGATCACTTTAAAATCCTGCTAAATGCTAAATTCTGCACGATAGAAATAGTTCAATTTCTGTATCATGTATAAATATAAAGATTCCTACTTTGATAGAAGGCATAAATCTTTTATGATCTATTTAAAATATGGAAGTAGTATTACTGAACAACAGAGAGTGAATCCATGAAAAGATTGGATACTCTGAATTTATAGGCTCTTTGGGGATGAGGTAGAGGAGAAAGATATTTTGGCACCTGGGAAGAGGGTGGCATAGCATGGGGAGGACCAGATTTACATCTGATGCTGCAGGACATCTGGAGGTGCCCAGGGCAAAGGACTGCAAAACACAGCTGGAGGACTGAGGGTTTAGAGTGAGTTGGAACAATGCCATATTCTTAATGAATGAAAAAGAGTAACTCAGAAAAGTAAATGCTGGTGACTATCAGCAGGTGGCTGGTGATGTCTGGTTGGACTGTGACGGCGTTTAGATGGAGGTGGGCTGAGGGAAGGGAGGAGAGTGAGCATGTAGAGGTCCAGGCACTTGGAGGAAGAGAAAGCAGGCAGGAAGGGGCAGGCTGAGGGTAGATGAGAGCTCCCACATGGGGAATGTTTCCTTTACATCAGGTGTACAACGCTGAGGATAGCCACATTCTCAGCATTATGTTCCAGGTGTTCTTTCAAAACTTTTCCTTCCTCGCAGGGGTCTGCCTCGACATGAACCTACACCTCTCTTGTCCCTTTCACCCCAGCTCTTTTTGTTTTAGGTCTCACACGGGCAGACACTGCTAACAAGTCAAATGAGGATTGAAATCAGCTCTACATACAATGGGCATTTAGGTTCTGTTGACTGAGATAAAACATTCACATCACAGTACTGCTCTGAAGAAGGACGAGTTAATTTGATTCTCAGTCTCCAGAGGGGTATCATAGGGAAACATAGTTTATGATGATGGCCGCCTAGAGTGGTTCTGATTATACAAATTAGATAGATAACTTAAAACTCAATCTGAAAAGAGGAGCACATTTTTCAGTTTGCTATTGAATTGTACTCCTAAGCCAATTTCATATGGTATTTATACAGCATTGTTGCACACATTTGCAAGGCCATCTCTTTGCATAAAAGAAGAAAAGTCCTATTAGATAAAGAGAAGAGTTTGACTTCTTGCTTTTTGAAGAAATGGTTTAGAATTGTCTTTAAAACAACACATAAAACAAAAAACCTCATTTTACTATCACAGTGCAAACCCTTTCTATAATATGCACTGAAATTTATTTTTTCTCTAATGAATTATCCGTAGAGTTTAAAAGAATCTATCATATATGCATACACTTTTCCACTAAAAGTGGTAAACTCTTTTAAGTACAGATCTTCAATTATTTGTTGATGATTTTATTTACTGTGGTATAGAAATCTGAGATTTTGGATTAAAAAAAACTTTATAAGGTGGAAAAGGAAAAAGTTGCTCTGGAATAATATCAGTTAGCTTTTAGAAGCATTTAAAATCTTTAGGAGACATTATAGCAATTAAAATAGGAGCTCTGGTTCAAATTTTATATGATTTTGATATAAAACATAGGTTGAATTTCTGTTCTAAAAACAGTGCAGTGTTTCTCTGCCATTATTTGGGCTTACAACATAATTAAAGGCCATAACCATGCTCCAAATTCCACATTTTATTTCAAACGAACCCCAAATGGGACAAATTCTTACTGAAAAATGAGACAATATACATAGCTCAAAAGCTTCAAAGACCCATCTTAAAGTCTCTTTCCCTAATTATCATCTGTCCACCTGAGGGAGACTTATCTGAAGGATCCAGTGAAGCACCTGCCTGGCCACTGCCACAGTCAAGTTGGTTAAAGAACAGATTTTCAGGTGGGAGAGTATCTAAATATTTCTTAAGGTGACCTGAGAAATAAAGAATTACCACTGAAGCTGGAAAATTTGAAATTCCAAAGTAATAAGACATTATTCAAGCATACACATCAGTGGGTTATTAGACTAATGTAATGAGCAAGGAGTTAAAGAATTCACATTCACATGTGCTTTTCTCACGTACACTTGCACATTTAAGTTTGGCACAATGTGAGTCCAAGATGTAGATTAGCATATTGTATAATCACATCTTCATCAATTATACCAATTGAACCAGATATCTCTTTTTAAAAATATCACATTTTAATATAAAAAGCTATACTATAAATTACTATGTAGTAAATTCAATACTCTGAAAAAATACCACCCTGGAAAACCGCATCAGAGTTTCAAGTTTGCATTGGATTAAGAGAGTTAACAGCAACGAAATCGTACCCACAACCTGGAATGTGGGGTGAGCTGCAGGGTAGCAGGTGCTGTAGCGTCTTCAGAAGACAATTTTTCTAGGCTGGTTCATTGAGGTTCATAAACATACTGGTTTTGCTTTTGTTTATAGTTCCAAGTCAACTTGTTTTCCTGATTATTGATAAGCTAGATCAATGCTGAGCTAAAAAGAAACTTTGCTAGGAAAGAGATCTATTAAAGGCACTAATATTTCCATAACCTAAATTCTAACTACTTACATTTCTAGGGGAAAAAAAAATAAAAAAACTAAGTGGCCATTTCAGTTACTTGAACCTTGTTTCCCCTTTTGGTCTAAAGCTCATCTCATGTTTTGTGGGAATTTCTCCTCCTTTTTAATACATAAAAATCATTTTTCATCCTGGAATACAGTTCACCTGCACAAAAATATACAGCTATTAGTTGAAAGGATTCTAGTAAAAAACAAAATAAAAGGTATCTTCAACTTGAAAGTTCTAAAACTAGGGAAGTCAAATGGACATTTCCATTGCCATCTGTGTCTGCCATTCTCCTAACGCTCACTTTGTGGGTTAATACATCCCTATATAATGTGATATGGAATAAAAACCAACACATGGCATACAACAGAACAGAAGACATTTGGCACAAGTTTTTTGAATAATCTCTTTAAATAAACCACCCTGTCTTCAAAAATATTAGTCATGTTTTCCTCACATGGAAGATTTCAAACAAGATCTTGGAATCCAAAAATGCAAAACTACCTTCTGTTAATAGGTTTACAGTCATCTTTGTCTTCTTATCTGGAACAAAATCTAAGGGAAAACAACCTAATGTTTGTACCAGAAAAGGATAGTAAATGAAAGAGAAAAATGATTTAACAAAACACTAGTTCACGCTTCTTTCCCGAGAGAAAAAAGTTAAGTCCTACATAACAAGTAAATCTAAAATAAAATCTTCATGAGAACTATAACGGAAAATTTTAATTGTATTATTTACTATGAAAAAATGGATATTTTGAAAAAAATCAGCATGTATATGTAAAATGCAAGTCACCCTTAAATAACCAAAAAGTGTTTAAAAAGCAGTGCAGCTGTGTCCTACTGGCTGGCTGTGAGCCTCTCTTTAGGCACTTTACTGGTCGTTAACACAATACAAATTAAAGCTATAAACATATAACGTTGTGCTCTCTGAAGATAGTCAAATCAAGCAACAGAAACCAATGAAAAAAGTGACCTTTTGGCTGCTCATTCCACCCCTATGATTTGATATCTTTTTTAAACCAGTTGTCCAAAGAGATTTTTCTGGGGAAGGGAATGCTTTGGCATCATGAAAGGAACATTATTCAACCCCAGTTAAGGTAAAACTGAAAAAAAAAAAGCCTTGTGCAATAAAGAAATTTGAAAAAAATTTCTTTATGGCTCTGTTTAAAAGGACACTTTTGCAGTGATATGATGGGGGACAGTTTGAGTTTTTTTTTTTTTAACATATTGCACTCTTTTGTTGGTGTTGTTCAATCACATTAATGCATAGAAACACATTTTTTACCTTTGAATAATAAACTGCTTAACCTATTATAAGAAGAAATATCATGGAAAATAATTTCTAAAAGCCTAACAGGAAGAAATACAGACATATCAGCCTTCCTTTGCTTATTGATATATAGAAATAACTATGAAAGAGGAAAAATGTGCAAAGAAAATTTTTGGTCAGTCTTACGTGGGTACGGGTTCTATGTGCCGACTAAGTGGACCAGAAGCAGCACTGTGAGCACTGATCATTTAGGATGACTGAGGATTACTGTCAGTTATAGAAAGGATTGTGTATAATTCCACTTTTAATATATACATCTGATACGGAAAAACGAAACTTCTCTGTTGTAGAAGAGAAAGAAATAGCTGAATTTGACATTTCAGTAGCATGCTATAGAATTCATCATGATTAATTTCACATTAAATTATGGACAATGGCTGTATCACATTTCACGTTATTGCCAATAGCAGTTAAAAAAAAAGAAAAAGAAAAAGAACAACCAAAAAAGAAAAAACAAAAACAAAAACAAAACAGTGCCCAACAAATAATCTCCTGGAGACACAAGTGTGTCCAGCGAGCAGCTTGGTTCAACGGCGCATGCTTTTCCTCCACCAGATTCAGGACACAACATTAAAATTTCAGAATGGCCAGAAGAGGTCATTCTTTGCTGAATTTCATTATCTGAAAAGCAATTGCTTAAGCAGATTGTAAGCGCTTGTACTTACTTACAAAAAAGAGAGAGAGAGAGAGAGCAAGAGAGAGAAAAATACACATACATATAAAACCCAAAAGCATTGAAGTTAAGCATTAACAAACCAAGTCCATGATTTATGGTCAGTATCCAAAACTCCAACTATAAACAATGCAGAGTAGTGCTCCTCAGTGTTATTCTGCAGTTGTTAGTGATGTTGAGCATCAAGAAAAATAAAGCACAGCATTGCACATTACAGCCGCAAAGACAAAACAAAACAAAAACGGCTAAACTGTGACTCTAGAGAATTGAAAAATTTTTGATGCTATATCACAAACAGCTTCTGATGTATATCTTATGTGAAAAGGTCTTTACACACATATGACATTTTCCTTGGGTGATGCTTCAGGTCAAATGCCGAGTTATGGCACGAAGCGCGTATAGAAGTTCAGCTTGCATCCGTGCTTCCATTAAAAGGAGATTTACATGAACCTAGAAATGAAAATGTTATCAGTTTAGCAACCAAGATAAACAACTAAAAAAGCCTTAGCTTTTCCACATATCACACATTTAAACAAAACTTTCTGAAGTGTATGTACATAATATACAGAGACATGCCTGAGCGTAGCTGTGCACACTCATGGTACAACACTCAAATCTGCCTTTGTAAGAAATGGCTCTGCAACCAATAATAGTGACTCTTGAAATTTAAAACATTCCCATAATTTGGCTAGAAAAATATGTTTCATAAAGCTAATTCATCTTTTGGATTATAAGATAAAATGAATTTTTATAAATTATAATTTTCCTAAAAATTTTATCTGGCAAAAACTAGCCCTGTGTTTCTTCCAGCTTACGCTTACCCTGTGGAATGCCTTTTAAAAATTTGCTAGTGTTTACTTGAAGGATACTAAAGTGAAAATCTGATGCTTAAAACAGTTTCTCATTATTGTTTCATAATTGTCAGACATCATAGACATCTTCCCTAGAGTCTTTTAGATAAAACTTTGAAGATTTTTTTTGGGGATACGTATCAGTTGACAGGTTTAAATGAAGAACCACAGTTTTCAAAACTTAATACAAAAATATGTTATATTATTTTTAAATTATTTTGACACTTTCTGGATATATTTTTGGATATATATTTTCACTTTCTGGATATATATTTTGTCAATATATATATATATATTGACATATATATATATAGACACTTTCTGGATATATATATATTTATATATAAATAAATATATTTATATATTGGATATATTTTTAGGTGTCATCTCCTGATGAGTAAAGAGAATTTCTCCATAGAATCTAGAAAATGAAAATAATTCTTTCAGACATATAAATAGGTCATAAAGTTTTATCAAGGAAAGATGCTGGAGGTAAAATGGGTATTTTTACCTGACATGTGATTGGTTCTGAGACTTCAAAAAATCTGTTAAGTACTGAGGCCATAACATTCTCTGCTAAGGTCATATAGTAATTTGTGAATGTTAGGACCATAAAAAGATTTTCTTATTTTTAAGCTTGGGAAGTATGGAATAAAGATTCTCAGACTTACTGGTTAAAAGATGTAGGCCCTAAGGCCAGCCCTCACACTATGAAGTGAGTAGAGATCCTGAACACTTACTGCACTTTAATTTAATGTTTTCTCCTGGTCTCAAGTGATTCTCTGGCCTTGGCCTTCCAAAGCGTGGGGATTACAGCCATCGTCACTTCCCATGCTGAACACTGGCCCGTGGGATAACGCTCAGTCACGAAGCACTCACCTTTTCCGAGTGTTTGAACTGCCGCCAGTAACTGTCATACATGCGCTTTGTGGTCCTCTCAGGATAGCAGGCCACCGTCTTGATGTAAACCTTCAGGCTTCGCTCAAGTAACTGATTGACTTCTCCATAGTCATAGTCGTCATACCTACACGCAATATGGCAACAACTTTATAATGACAAATCAAAATTTTAAATTTCTAAAGAGGTATCAAGAGACATTTATTGTCCGGTAATTAAATACCCAAAACTCATTAGTCGATTTGTCTGACAAATATTTGTTTTTACTTATTATACAAATTAAATTTTTTTAAGTAACCATTTTATATAATCTATTAAAAATTGATAAACTGTTGGGTTCTATTTGGTAAAATGCTATGAGAAAAAAAAATTAAAAAAATAAAAATAAATAAAAAGAATAAGTTTAGACAAATATCTGATAGAAAGTAATTTATGTATTTTAGAATAAATATGACATTATTTTAAAGGATTCTAGGGCTATTTTCAGTGTCTTATACTCCACAGTTTCTATAAATAATCCATGGTGTTATTTATAGAAAGTAGTAGAGCGTAAAACCATTCCCTAAAAACAAAACAAAGCTTTCATTAATCTAAGACTGAGGGCTGGCTTTCCGTTTCTTCTCAGGATCTGTGTGGCTAAGTATTTTTCCATTTTTTTTTTCTAGTTTTTTCAAATGAAGCAAGAGATGATGTTTAGTCATTTTATGTAAATGTTCAGTAGTCATTTTATAAACAATTTTTACAAGCTTCATTACTGTACATGATTTGTCAAAATTCTCATGAAACAATGTAAGAATTTGTTCTCTGATATTTCTGTGAGAAATATACTGCAGAATTTTCACTTCAGCATTGTGGATTCCTGGGCAATGCCCTGGATATATACTATCCATTGTCATTTTCAACAATTCTTTTAGGGAGTTCATATAATAATAGAGATTTTCAAATACAGTTGTTCTTTCCCCTAGGATACAATCTCCAGAAAAGAGAGCATTTTTTTCTTCCCGGAGGAGAGCCATGTGACCATCAGCGTGGCCAGTGTCCGTGTAACTCTTAGAGTGGCCCCTCAGTCTTAATTACATCTCCATCTTTCAGATAAACACACTGTTGTTCTCCATTTCCTATAATTTTTTCCCTATGAGGATCTGGTGGGTGTTTTGATAATACTACAAGAGGCAGTTTCACTATTGATACTTTATAAATATCTTCTGTGCCACCAGTATGATCCCAGTGCCAATGAGTCACTCTGGTCTCCTAGATTTTGCTGCGTTAAATTCAGCTGAAGCCTGCTTTAAACAGCTGACATATACTGGAATGGCTGGTTCTCCAGTGTCAGTGAGCATTCTGCTGGGGCCAGTCCCTGCTAGCTGAGTGTTGGTCCCCTGCAGAGTCCTAGGACCCGAGTCACAGCCCAACATTTGCACCACCAGGCTGGACAGCTGCTCAGGGTGCTGAGACACTCTGCTGTGTGTGAACAAGACAGACAAGATTCTCTGGGCTCACAGAGCTTAAATTCTATTGAAGAAAAAAGTAAAAAAGTAGAGAGATAAACATATAGTATATCAAATGGTAATGACTGCTATGGAGAGAAAAACAGAACTCTGTTGTAGGAGGAGAGAAGCAGTGACTTTAAGTAGGGTGGGCAGGCAGGCTTCTCTGAGAGGTGACACTCCAGTGAGCACAGACCAGAAGGAAGAGAAGCAGCACGTGTGCAGTCCCTGAGGCTGGAGTCAAGTGTTTCAGGGAGGAGAAGTGATCATTTAAAGCTACTGAATAGTCAGACGGGATGATGACTGAGAACCAACTACAGAAAGTAACTATATGGCAGTCACTGGAAATCTAAATAACAGCAGTTCCATTGGTTGGCAAGGGTAAGAGCCTGACACTGTAAGCGGGCTCAAAAGAGAATGAGAGAAGAGAAAATGGTCAAGGTAAATAGGTAAAATTTTTCAAAGAGATTTGCTAAACACGGATATAGAGTAGTGATTTTTAACTGGTGTGCATGTGCCGTTGAGAGGATCTTAAGTGTCCTGGGAAAAATTTTAAAGATTATTAATTAAGTTACAGTTTTTAGAAGAAGTTCAAAGCACAGTAAGTATAGTTTTTTTACTCTTTTTTTGAATCAATGTAATTTAACTATGCTGTGGAAATTTAACTATAGGTTCAAATGTGCTGTGAGATTAAAAAAAAGAAAAAAAAGGTTGAAGAACATGGATGCAGAGAAGAGAGGCAGTAGCCAGAGGGAAAAGAAGGTCGAAGCAGGATTTTCTTTACAGATGGGAGCAATAACACCGTGTTTCTACACTGATGGGAAAAACTCAATGGAGTAAAGTTGATTATACAGGAGAGAGAAGGAAGAATTTCTAGAACAGAGATGCACAGAAAATGAGAGATGGGATTAGTGCATAGAAGCATAGACAGAAGTAACAGCAGACACAGGAGAGAAGGCAGAGGAAACGGGCACAGACAAGCAGGTGGGTGATACCAGGAGCTCGCAGAATTTCTTTTAAATTTTTAGTTAATTTTTAACCCAAATGTGCAGCTTTGTTTAGAAAAAGTATCTTGATGATTTTATATAAGTTTTATCTAATAGCACCCAACAGATAAATATAATCTGTTGTTGTGCAGATAATAAACATTTATTATATTTAAGTTAAACTCTATTAGTGTTTATTTTTCTTATGTGTAGGTACAATACGGTTTATGTGTTTTAAAAGGTGATGATTCTTTGATACTTACTGTCTAGGACAGTAAACGGACAAATAACTCAGTCATTACATACTATCACATCAGTGTCTTCTACACAGAATGTTGTATTATCAGTTGATTTATCAGGAAATTTTAGAGTTTTTTTAATTGAAATTATAGAAAACATTTTGCTTAATAGGTTGATTTCTCTTTCTAACCCATAGAGGGTAGAAAGAATATAGTATATAGACAAGTTAAATGTATTAATAACTAAAAATTTTCTCTTTCTGCAAATTTATTTCTATAAAAGCCTTCAAGACCCAGTTCAACAAGGCACGTTCTCCAAAGCAGGTTTCTTGATTCAATTATTCAATCTTACTCATTTACTCACTGTCCTCTCAAGGGAAATTTTCTAAATTTAGAGGCCATTAATTTATATTGGCTGATATATTTCATTTCAGTGTTCTTGTGTGAGGTATGTAAGCTTCATGAGGGCAGAATCTATTCTAGTTTTGTTTATACCCTATTGCCATTTCTTTAAAAATGATTTTAAGAAACTGAACTAACTAAACAAGTTAGAATTTGTTATGGTGATCTAAAGGGACACAGTACATGTCTTTCAAAACATTCACTTATTCGTCCAGAAAGAATTCTCAAATTTAGTCTCAAATTAGAAATGATTAGTGGTTTTGTTCTTTCCTTAGTAAATCCTTTCTATTGTATTTGTATGTTCATCAATGTTAAAGTTTACAACACTTAAAGAAAAATAATTCTTATGAAATGAAATTAATTTTCTAAATTAGATGTCCACATGTAATATTTTTCCCCTGGAATCATACACTCCTTAAACAGGACATAAATAAGACTTATGCTAGATTTTCTTTCTTTCTTTTTTTTTTTGGTGGGGGAGGAAAGACAGAGTTTCAAGCTGTTGCCCTGGGTAGAGTGCCATGGTGTCACAGCTCACAGCAACCTCAAACTCTTGGGCTTAAGTGATTCTCTTGCCTCAGCCTCTCCTGTAGCTGGGACTACAGGTGCCTGCCATAATGCCCAGCTATTTTTGTTGTTGTTGTTGTTGTTGTTGTTGTAGTTGCCATTGTTGTCTGGCAGGCCCAGGCTGGGTTCAAACCCGCCAGCTCCAGTGTATGTGGCTGGTACCCTAGCCACTGAGCTACAGGTGCAGAGCCCTTATGCCAGATTTTCACTAAGAAATGTATAGAACTATCTGTCCAATGAACAGACATACCTGATTCCAAACATACAGTGAACATAGTTAAATAAAGCTCTGCGCAGCATGGTCGTGTCAACATCCTCGTGGGTGGCCATAGTGTTATACGTGAGATTGTAGACCATCCGAAACTTTTCATCAAGAAGATGCCCGATGTCAGAATAAAGTCTGTTCACCAAGGAGAACCCATGATTTTCCCAGGTATAGTCCTGAAAGAATAAAATGAATCCAATTACAAAGTGGGCAGTCTCCATTTAAACTCGATGTTTTTATTAAACATAATACTGAAGTAAGTAAATGAGAACACTTCTAACTTAGTTCTAGGTTTGCAGCTTTACTAAGGCTTTGCTGCCAAGAACTCTTCAGATCAGTTTATAGATCAAAGTACCAGTATATTTCCCCCTAGGGTCCATCCAGGGTTTGTCACCTGAGTGATGAATTGTGGCAGCTCCTATGTTCAGGACTGTGAGTGCTGTGCCCTTATCTGGAAGGACCCCAGGAGATCTTGGAATATTCCTACATGACTAAACCTACTCAGTGACTCGGACAGTTAGCAGATCAGCTAAAACAAGTATGAAGGTGTTTGTCTTAATCCAACCTCATATCCTCTTAAGGAGTCACATCATGTGGTGGCTATTTTCCATGGGTAGGTTTTGGGGTAACCCTTAAGCCCAACTGCAGGTATGTGATCTTATTACAAAATGCCTTTTCACTTACCAATGTGACCGTATCACTTGATTTCCTCCCTCCTCCCTCCAAAACTAGTCTGAACACTGTACAACCGCAACATAATATTGTGAGTAAGCATGTCGTTTCCTTTTGCCTTTTTAGGGGGAAAATACTGAAATAATTATCCATCTATTGGGACCTCAAATGAAATGATGCTGAAAACTAGGTTAAATAAAAAGATTTACAGATCCTAGCTTAACAAAAAAAAAAAAAAAAAAGACCTGTCAATTCATTTACATTTCAATATTTAACGCTTAAAATGACAGCATTTTCTAGTGTCTCTAAATTTCGGATATCTCATACCTGAGCTCGGAATGTTGGCAAATGCTCTTCTCCTCGTCTAGCAAAGTCTTCATATCCAAAACCAGGGTCTTCAATATATCGAGAGACATCTGATGTTATAATCATGTCATCTTCAAAATCTAAGGATAATAATGGAAAATCTAGTGTTAAGGGTACTGTGCATCAACACAGCAAAACCGAGCTCTACTTTCCTCCATGTTTTAGCTTTTCCATGGATTTTTAAGGTAATGGCATTGTCTCCATGGCTTAACTTCATTTGTCATATCTACTGCTAAAGTTTTGAATACAATTTCATTTCTAAATATTAGCAGTCTTACCATTTTTCTGTAGTTTTCCAGGTAAAAAATTAACTAAATTAAAATATATAAATAATACTAGCAAAAAATAATACACTAGTTTTACTAAACTGGAAATGGAAGATAGGACAGGCCCGTGAGCATAAAGCTTAAATATTTCTAGTCAAGTGGCAGGTGGAGAAAGAGCAGAGGTAAAGCTGAAAGACCATTCTGTGTTTAATTTTAAGATAAACCTTCTGAAAATCACATGCTGTTTCATCTGGACATATTCACAGTGAAAGTGAGCTCAGTATAGTTCACTCTGAGCTTACCGAGAGGCACACAGGGAGAAGTATCGGGAAAGCAGCTCAGCTAGGAGCACAGCAGGTATTGGGCTATTGTTGTCTTAATTCATGTGGGTGTGAATTAAGTGGGAGGCTCCGTCTATGAGCATTCACTAGCTTTATACCTGAGCTGTGTGCACTTTTCTGTGCACATGAAAACAAAAAGAGCATACAACATACAGAGTAAACAGTGTGCTAATGAGACTGTGATTAGAATACCATTGAAGTAGCACTCAGTAAGACAAGAAGGCAATGATAAGAGTTGAGGGCAGCTGACTTCTGCACACTTGAGGATATTAACAGTTTGCTACTGAAAATTTCTAAATGTCTGATGAGTATTAATTTTGGTAAAAATAATTTTCTTCAAACTCATTTTCTGCTTTAGTTTAGTCCAACTTTATAATTACTTTTTTCTGGTTTTAACCATTACAAGGGAATGAAGTTTTATTTACTACCTTTTACTCTAGAAAATGAACAGATATTTTTCAAAAAAATAGCTATCTCCATGCAATGAACAATTATTTCTTAAGAAGTATTAAGTAACTTTTATATTTTAAAAATAAATAAATACAAAATAAATAGTTCATAAAACATTATGGCATAATAAAAAATACTTCTTCACTGCACAAAATTTTGAGAGGCTTAAAAAATATTTGATGACTCTTCCAAAAGAAATACCTGGTAGACTAGAAATACTTATCTTTAATCTTTGCTATTTCATGAAAATACTGACAATGAATATCTTTTCTCACAAGTTTTTACCTTCTTTAGGCTGCTGCTGTGGCCCCACTGGGGTGCTTGATGATGGGAGATAAGATGGGCCTCATCTTGAGTGTCTCAGCTGACATCACTCAATTTGGATATATCTCATTAAAATTCTTACCTAACTTTATTCTCTAGCAAGAAGAAACTGGCATTTATTGAAGACTTACTATATACCAAGTACTATGTTATGTACTTAATATCAATTTTTTCTTTGTTTAATATAAAAAGAAATATTGACTTCCAAAATAAATAACTGTAAGTTAATTAATAGCTAATAACTAATTTCTTATTTCTTTCAATAAGAAATACAAATGGATTGGTATCAGATAGTGTGGAAAACTTCTAAACATTGAATTACTTAAATTGATCTGAAGCTTTTAAGTGACTTTCAGCTTCGCTAGAGAAATTTTAAAACTCATCTCCAGGCCAGCTCCATGACCACTTTTATCTCCCCATGTGCTCCACTCTATACACATGAATAGAAAGACTTTTAAGACGGCATTGCCTATTAACATTTACACATTAGTGTATACGTTCCTTAATTGAGTCATCATGTAATCATCACCAGAAATGTAGCAAAAAAAAAAAAAAAATGTAGTAACAATTACTGAGGCCGCTATGAAAAGTAGGAGTTTTGTGGGTTGCAAAGTAAAATCAAACTAAGAGAGTTAGTGATAACTAAACTCTGTAAACGGTGTCTCCAGAGGTGAATGTTCCTTCCACACTGTACAACCAGGTGGTTTCATTTGGCAAATACTGATACTGGAGCAGAATATTACATACTTGGTTCCTCTGTCTTTGATGTTTGTTTCTGTTTTGCTTATATACATTTTTGAATTGTTGTATGATTTTAAACATCTTGAAATAAACAATAAAAAGTGAGTAACTAACCAAATAAGAGAAATGATCCTAAGAAAAACTCTTATGTGTTAATTTAAAATTAGGAGTTAATTGAGACTTGTTTTCTAGATAATTTTGTGCACAGAAAAAAATGTACAAAGGTCCCTCAATTCACAAATTTTTTTCCCCTAAATTCATCTTAAGAAGTTAAAATTAGTACTCTGACCAACAAATCTAAAACTATAGTTTTAATTCTATCTACATAAATATTTCAAAGTCTGCACTCAAAGGAAACAGCATTTTGCTCATAATCCACATTCTCTGTCCCAAAGAAGTGTTACTAACATAAGACAGAGGCCATATGGCTACGGCAATGGAACGCTTGTCTAACTTAAAAAACAAAACTAAAAGCCCGTCAACCCTTTCACCAAGCTGCAGACTGTGACCCCTGCAGAGAGATGTACTTTCTTCAAAGGACTTGAAAAATATTCTTAGAATCCCTACATAGAATCTGGGATGCTTTATCAAACTGGTCAAATCAAAAAACTTTTTATGGGAAAAATATATTTCTATTTCTAGTTTAAAACATTGTAAGTCTATAAAAATAACTGAATTAGCTATTGTGCTGAATCATTTTCTATATTTTCTTTGTGCAGCCAGCAAATTTAGTATGACAATGGCTAAGAGCAAAAAACACATATAATGAAATTTTTTATTTCCTTAAATGATTTATACAGATTTATAATGGTATGATCTCTTCTATTAAAATAGGAACATATTTTTAGCTAGGATCTCAAACATGCTAGTATAACTTTAATTTTGAAGGCAAGAGTTCCTGCTCACAGATCTAAAAAGGTAGAAACTTGAATCCAAAATGTATATAAATGTCTTAACACAATAACTAAGAAAATGCCATGAAGGCTATGTTAACCAGATGGAAATATTTCAAATTGTATATAAAACCAGCACATTGTACTCCATGACTGCATTGATGTACACAGCTATGATTTAATTTAAATAAATAAATAAATAAATATATTTTCAGTATTTCAAAAGACATGAAAGAAAACATTTCTACCCTTCAAGCTCTAATGATCTGAATAAAGCTCTCAAAAATTAATGTTTGAAAGCAAATAAATATTATTAACCTCAATAAAAATGATTACATTTTAAAATACTGGTTTGCTATAAGGTTCACCCTGGCTCATTATTTCCCTTTGCCCTCACTTATTCTCCCTGAATAATATTTGTACTCAACTCTTTTGGTCTTTGCTTCTAATGTATGTTGATGACTTCCAAAATTTTGCCTTGAGTTTAAAACTTCTCATGATCGCCATTCTATATCCTCTTGCTGCCCCTAGTGTGGGGCTGCCCACTTGGAGAGTGACAGAAATATAGCTGCTAAGGCCTGCCTTAGACTGACTTATTCAATATCTACATCTTAGTAAGATGCTCCAAATGACGCACATGAACACCAAAGTTTGAGAGATGCTGTGCTAGATATTTCTAGACTGGATGTTTTACAGACATCTCTACTCAGAATGTTCAAAATATGTCAAGCCACATGTTCCTCAAGACCACAGAGGTCTTCCTGACCACTTGGCACCTGTTTCCAGGGTCCTGTACCTCACCACTGGGCCTCTTCTTGGGACTGGATGCTGTTTACCACATCCGCCTGTACTTACCAGCCACTGCCTGGCTTTGCCACACTCAAGTCTGTTAAGACTTATCTTAGACAAAGACATTTACACTAGAATGTTTACTGAGGCTCAATTCATAATTGCCAACTCATGGAAGCAACCTAAGGGCCCATCACTCCATGAATGGATCAACAAACTCTAGTATATGTATACTATGGAATATTACTCAGCCATTAAAATAGATGGAGACATTACATCTTATACATTTATCTGGATGGAGCTGAAATACATTCTTCTTAGTAAAGTATTGCAAGAATGGAAAAATAAATATCCAATGTACTCCATACTAATAGGAAATCAATATATAAACAATTACATGTTGATAAGAATAATAAACACTATTATAGTCCAGTTCTGGGGTAGAGGAAAGCTGCGTATGGCAAGGGGGGGAGGGTGTGAGGCGGGATCTCACCTAACGTGCACATTGTGAGGGTGTCTAACACGCCCCTTGGGTGAGGGGCTCTTCTACAAATGGAACTTTTCCCTGGAAGTGAGAATAATGTAACCTAAATATTGTATCCTCATATTAATTTGAATAAAATTTAAAAAGAAAAAGATAAAGTAGTTGCAATAACAACAACAACAATAGACTTATCTTGAACCAAGGGCTGCAGGAATTCTTTCTCTAGGTCCCACTTCTGTCCACGACCTTCCCCTAAAAGACTGGGTTCAGTGTCTTCTTATTCTACTAGGTATTCTAATTATTTTTCTTCCACCAGCATGAGAGTGCCCAGAGGGCAGGAATCATATATGAGTTAAACATGTATATATAGCCCTAAAACCTTAGTACTTACAAAGTGCAGAGACTATATGGGGTACTCAATAAATGTTTATAGAATGAGTATTAAACCAACAAGTAAAACACAAAGTTTCTTTATCTGGAATTGCCTACTGATTAGAGGCTATAGTTCTTATATAGTTATATAGATTTAAAGTTATAGTTGCCTTCAATGGATGGTATTAATTAAATGGATTAAACTGGTTACCTGATTTGATAAAATTTTTCATAAAAAAGATCATGAAGGGAAATGATAAAAGGGGTTCTTGTTCTTCCTGGTAAAACTGAGAGCTACTGGTCCATGTTACGTTTAACACTAACAAACAAGTTACAGTTCAGTCTTTCTCAAAGAGGATCTCACTTTTGCTCAGGCTAGTTTCAAAATCCTGGCCCTAAACAAACCTCCTCCTCCTCCTGCCTCTGCCTCCCGAAGTGTTAGGATCACAGGCAGAAACTTCGCCAAGACTGACAAGACAATAATTTTGAAGGTCTCTTTTAAACCAATGAAACTCTATGTTAAAAGGAAATGTTTTGTAGATTGAAGACTGTAAGCTTTGTATTTGAGTCTATGCTATTTTAATAATATTTATTATGTGATGTTCAATATCTTTTTTAGTTGTAATTGAAAAGTTCTATTCCTATTTAAAAGTCTCTTGGAGTATTACAAAAACTGTGTTTTTAAGACTAGAGCAAAAGATTCTTAGATTTTAATGTTGAATTAATCCCTCCAGTTTCAATCTAGGAAAATGACCTAAATAATACATCTGTATAGAATTCCAAAGAAATGCAGATGCAAGCACAGTGTAATTTTAGAACTAATCTGGAAAAGCAGCAGCAATGTGAAAATAATCTTCCCACACACCCCACCCCCTAAAAAGGCAAGGAATTTTTAAAACAAATTATATAATTAAGAAAGTGCGGTGAAGGGCATGTTAACCAGTTTGTTGTAAGTATTTCAAATTGTATACAAAACCAGCATACTGTACCCCATAAATGCATTATTGTACACAGCTATGATTTAATAAAAAAATTTTATATCTATTGAAATAAGATTTTACTTATTTTAAAAAATCACAAAAATAAGTTGAATCAAACCTTCCTATCTAACTTTAAAAGCCACTGGTCTGCTTTGAATAACGCTTTTTCCAGGATAGAGTATGGATCACAAAGCTGGAAGTTTCTCTCACCAAGATCTGAAATACATTCAAAGATGCAGCAGCCTGAGAAGGAAAGTGATGAGGTTAGGGCGAGGGAGAGGAGGAGGGCCAAGATCAACAGAGGATAGCAGTAGGGTCATTCTTACACATCCACACAGGAAGGGCTCTGTCAGGGTTCTAAGAACTACAAGGCAAAGAAGTGGAAAAAAGCACCTGAATGAGGAAATGAATGGAACGTATCTCCAGCGACCACAAAAAGACTTTCTTTCTTCTCCTTCTCAAAACGCGTGGTCATTTCTTCCTGAGATGCCTCTTCATCATCCCTCTCTTCTTGAAGCCTTTTCATCCTTTCCATTAAGGCCTCTAGCTCGCTCAGAGAATCCACAATCTGGAACCAGATAAGGTAATGACAGGTATTATTACGTTCCAGTAAACGTCTCCACCTCCCAGTGCCACTCACCATGTGCAGAGGCACAGGCAGCTATTAACTCTACCTGGGCTTTCACTGACTCCAGGGAGAATCATGGGACACATTCAAACATTTCCAGCAAGTCCGGTATTTTTGCTTCGGTTACGTGTGTGTATATCCATATGTATATATTTAATCCAGAATTCTAACATTCAGTGTATATTAAATTATATTGTACATTATTAAAAAACAAATTTTCTACCTTCTTTTCCCATAGAAGAAATCTATGGGAAACATAAGATAAACATAAGATCTGTTTTCTACTGCTTGTTCCGCTGTCTTATAGACATAGGGGTAGTGCTCTGGGACTGACATCAAAAGCCTTTGTTTACTAGAACCTAAGTTAATAGCTGCCTGTGCCACTGCACATGGTGAGTGACACTGAGAGATGGAGACATTTATTGGAACAAGTTTTAATATTTTTAATATTAATAATACCTAACAGTACAAATGTCTTTATCACTTATAATGATATGTATTTGCTTTAAAAGCGTCTTGAGACAAATCAGAATTTTAAGTACTGGTTAAATTTTTACAGTAATAAAAATTATGCCAAATACTTTAAGTATATAACATATTGTCTAATCAAAGAATAAATTCTTTCTAGGTATTTTTAAGATCAAGAAACTTAAAGAAAACAGTAAAGGAAAATAGTGAAGAGAACTAACCCCATAGTTGCTGCCTGTAAGGGCTGTGTTCTCTATGCTGTTATCATTTGCAAGATCACAAACACAGAAATTGTTGACTGATATTAGCCTGAATCCATTGGAGATTTCTGGATCCCTCTCTGGATTGATACCACTGCCAAAAACAAAGCTTGCCAAAGCATGATAATGTGCCAGTAGGACCACGGCATGGACCAGTTCAGGTAGAGACCAATTGTTTTCTCCAGTTTTGACGAGTTTCTGAAATGAGATAGCAAATACAAGCAAAATCATAGAATGCTCCAAAGCTTTAATTAAAAGCGTGGAAAATCTACCAAATATAGTATATCTATTTGTGATAGCCCAACTGAGTTGGGTTGCCCACTGCACAGAGAAGAGCCACACATCAAGACAGCCAGGGCTGCAGCAAGCAAGGACTGTTTCCCCCCCGGGTGCTATGACAGCAAACTCTTTCTCTGTTGCAAACTAACTGGGGGCCGGTCCAAGATCACCCTTGTGTGTCCTTGCCTGTGGTTCAGCTGCCTCTCGCAGGTGGCAGGGATTTAGAGATGTGCCCTAGAGGTCGCTCAGATTTCTTGGACTGAGGACCGTCTATGGTTCCTGTCCCTGCCAGTAAACATTAACTGCTCACAAAGCTTGGACCTGTTTGCAGCACAGAAACGATTTCTGAAACTAGAAAACATCTCTAGTGAGTATTTGAAACACTCAGCATCCTTCTTTTTCTTGACTGTTAGCCTCTCTGGAGGCACTGTGGCTGTCCCTACATTACAGGAAGAGTGTCTAGTTTCAGGGAGAGGACTCGCCATCTGGAAGAACACTCCTGAAATTCTGGCCTTAACTTCTACACTTGATCTTAGCCAAAAGGCCGAGAAGCGATCTGGCCTTAACTTCTTTTGGAAGGCCTGTTTCCCCTGTCATGTGTGCACGCATGGAGTTTCTGCTTTACTTCCTGTCACGTGTGTGCACGCAGGCAGTGTCTGCTTTGCTTCCTGTCACGTGTGTGCACGCAGGCAGTGTCTGCTTT